TGAGCATGCTAGACTCTGGTCTAACCATGGGAATGGCTTTGACACAATTTTGACTTGAGACACCTCAAGAGTTTAATCTAGGAAGAAGAGTGGCAAGGTGATAAAAAAGTAATAGTATATAAAAGCAATATTTCTCATTAAATGTATAGGGTCAGTGGCCAGTAAAACGGGATATAATAATACAGAGTAGTAGTCTTTTTAAGAGAGCTGTCTTTTTTTTTTTTTACCTTGCCTTCATCTGCCTCTCTGATATAGGTTTCTTATTTTTTTCTTTTCTTCCCTTAAGAAATTTTCTTCAAAGAACTCCTAGATGTTAAAAGACAAGAAAAGTGTTTATTTAAAAATTAGTTTCTCTGAGCATTTGTGCCTATATTAAAATTTTTCTGAATCATACAACTCCAAAAAATAATTTGGAATCACTCCAAAGTGGAAAGTATCTCTAATAATAGCAAATGTTTTATTCTTTATCACCAATCATCCTTTAAGAATTAATCAACTCAGCTAATAATAACAAAATATAATTTTACTTTGATTATTAGAGTTTTGAAAATGTTTTCTAAAAAGGAAATTTTAAAGTCTTGTGTACTCTGTTAAAATCAAAAGTTTCTAGAGAAATGTTCTTTTTAGTAATAATTAAATACCATTTATTATTTAAAGAAGATTGGAATCTTAACACTTACAGAAATGATAAATTTGTTAATATAGTTGATAAAAATGCAGTGAATATTTTAATTAAAAACACTCACTACAGTAAAAGACACATTGCCAATAATGATAGAATTTGTTCAAAGTGAGGAGGAGTACTTTAAGTATTTTGAGGGGGAATAATGGAAATATGTCTTTTACTATTACAATTTTTTTATTTAAACATTTACTGTATAGTTCAATCACCCCTGGTATTTTTCCTAATCACCCAAGATTATTTTTTCATTGTTTTCTACCTGCTTGAATTCTACTATCTTGTATTTGTGTTCATCTCTCTTAACTATAAATTGAATAATTTTTCAGGTCACCTTTGAGAGTACCCCTTGACCCTATTCCTCTTGTTTTTAAACTACTATTTTCCATCTCATCTTCTATTTCTCTCAACCAATAGAGCTTTACCCTTCTTGTAGGTCTAATCTCTCTCATCTGTCACTTGCCAGTGTAACTTCCAAGTTAAATCTGAAACAGCAGAACAATGAGACTAGCAAGGTGTTCTTTACTTCTCTAGGGAAAAATAAGTTTTCCTGTTTTGAATAGTAAAGATCTTGAATATATACTTCTCTAGACTTTCTAGGAAACTGAGTCTATGTCTTCATACAGGATCCAGCAAGAGTGCCAACTAGCTGAAATAACTCCTTATTGTACTCTTATACCAAACAGGCAATTGAGTTATAAAAAGGAAGCAACAGAAGTAGTCTTATGATTCTTCCTTGCTAACCTGCTATATAGATTCAAAAGTTCAGGATATGAAACCAAGGACATGAGTTGAATATCAACTACATTTGCTCAAAACTTGTTTAGGAAAATAAATCTTTCTGAGCTTTGTTGTAGTTGTTTGTTTTAATTTGTTAAAAGAGGACAATGCCATTCCAGGTTATCTGAGAAGATCAAATATCAAATTAAATAATGTACATGACAGATTAAAAAAATTATTAAGTTCAATAAAATTAAGCTATTTCATTCAATAAAGAATTTATATGACTATATTAGAATATCAGTTTCCATTGTGCAAATAGAAGCAAAATATAGACTCTCGAGTCCCACTCCAAATTTATTATATCAGAATCCATAGAAATGAAGCTCATCCCTCTGTATTTTTATGGACACTAAAGTTTGACAAATACTATGCAATATTATACCATTCTCATTTTCAGTGCACTCTTCACATTAATGGATGTTTAACTGTCAAAAAAATTACATTTTCTAATCGTCTCAAAATGATTTGCTAAAAGTTTTTTGACACAAACACTTCAAATATTAAAATTAAGTAGTTTAGATTCTTAACTATTATTTTATACATTTTTAACTTAAAAAGAAGTATTTTTTAAAAACACACTGGAATGCAGAGCTAACCATGGCTAATCATGAAAACAACTCAATTTCCTGGGAAATTATTATAATTTATCACATTATCTTTGCTCATGTCAAATTTTAACATACTTAATAGCTGCCTAGTTAAGACACTATACTGGTTCTACATCAATCATTCCAGTTAAAATTCATAGATATTAAAATACATTCTTCAAAGTATACATAGTTGAGATTTTCCATGTCTGAGTTTATCAACATGTAACTGATTTTGTTTTAAACTTTCATATTTACAATTAATTAGGGCCCCAAAGAACTTTAGGGTGAAAAGAGAAAGGAGAAACTGTCTATTTACCTGAGACTGGGTAAGAGGTAATGCTAAATCTTGTATAAAGGAGAAAAGAAAAGCAAGATCCAAGATCACCTAAGACAGTGAGAAATATAAATACATATAATAAACAATGAATGAATAATTATGCCCAAGGTAAGAGAATAAAATTATATTTAAAAAATAACATTTGGCTTTTTAAAAGTTCCTTTTTATTATTAATATAATAAAATGAACATATTCATATTTCATCCTAATATGTTTTGGAAACTAAGTTATTTATCCTGTTTAATCTGACTATGTGCTAAATTAACACTAATATGTTATTAGAGGCTACATTTTCCTGGAAAAGAAACAAATATCTACCATCACCAGGAGAACTGATAAACTATGATATATTCATACAGTGTAAATACTCTAGTCTAGATCACTGGAACCCAATGAACCATAGCTACATGCTGTAACGACTGAGGAACATTACGTTGTGATAATTTAGGAAAGCAAGACAGAAGAACAAAAGTATTATTTCATTCATACAAAAAACTTCAAAAATGTATCCCTAAAGAACAGTTTATTTGTAGATTAAAATATTATCACAAAACCATAAAGAAAATTGGGGAGATTGTATATAAATCCAAGACAGAGGCTACTGCTGAAGAAGGAAGGTAGTAAAGGAATGTGATTAGAAAAGTGTACACAAATGAATTTATAAAAAATGGTAACTTCTTTCTCTTAAATTGAGTGATAGGTCACAAATGTGTATTTTCTGTATTACTTATGTTTATTTTACACACATATTTCACAAATTCTATTTTATAGGTAGGAATTCAGCTTTCAATAAGAACAACTAAATTGTATGTTGTCTTTTCCTTCTATATGTTCTCCATAACAAGTTTTGTAACAGATAACAATTTCTTCTTTTCAACATAAGCAGTTATATCTGAATATACATTTATTTTAAATGGTTCTACTGCTGTGCCTAAGTTTTAAAAAATCCTAAATCTACTTTTAAGAAATCAGATATTTAATAAAAAACATAAGGACAAAGTTTGGAGTCAAATTATTTCAGAAACCCATGAAAATAAAATACATTAAACTTCTAAGTGGTTACCACAGGCTGTGTAATGGCTTTTACATAAGAGGGACATAAATAGCAAATAGTAATTGAACAAATTTCTTCACATCCTAAATTTACCAAAAGAACTGATTGTATCCTAACCATGTACCTCTTAAGAAATTCTGCAATTTGTGAAACATTTTAGAAATATTTTAAAAGGCTTATTCTTATAGGTTACCTACATATAACTCTAAGAATTTAATATATATATATGTATATTTAAACTTGGAAATGCTAAAGATTTTGGTAGTTTACATATTGATTATAGGAAGAGCTGTGGTAAAAATATTAACGTCTAGGGAATATCTTTTAAAAAAAGATATACAAAAAAAGTTCTCCAACAGTGAAATACAATTGTTCCTCTAATATGAAAACTGATGAATGAATGATGAAATCTAGTAAGTTTTATGTTTCTGTCAAGTAAGTCTTATTTTTAAATATGAGATTGACAAATAAAAATCTTTATACTGCTTCAGCTATGAAAGTGATTCCCAATCTGTGCTTTTCCAGAACCTATACTCAGAAAGTTTTTTTTCTTGAGAACATTAAAGGCTCATAATTAGGTAACAAGCCTATCACAAATCATCATTACTGCAGAAGCATAAATAAGTAGGTTTAAAACCATTTTTTTTAAAAGAGAAACAAACCTAAGGGTAAAATGAAGCTTATCCAATTATATATTTCTCTTAAATATTAGAATTTTAAAGATGAGAAATTTAAACCCAAACTTCTTAAATTTTGCTCTAAAAGACTTACACTATTTTTTTCCAGACTGTTATTTTATTTCCTCGAAATTTCAAAGAAATGTAAATTGAAATACAGAGACGCCTATGCAAAAGATCTCTTCCTTCCCAAATCTAAAGATTGGCGTCTAACGAAATACCTTCGCGCATTTTAACGTCACGTATAAAATGCCAACCATTATCTAGTACTTCGATTAACCTCCCACCCATTAATTCAGAGAGATTTCGTAGTAATTTTCATATTTTATGTCGTCTATGGTTAAATATATACATATGTACAAATATATATTTCTTAGCACCATTACCTGTTAAGACTAGCCTTCCTTTTTTTCTTTCCATTTCAGCTTAAAACTAAGGATCATGATCCTTTCTAAAATCTCAAGTGACCCTCACAACTTAAAATCACCAACCGCTCTAAGCCTCTAAACCCTCATTTTATACTGTTATAATTTTTAAAAAGTACTTTAAAAACCCTATACCTTTTTCCTTCGTCCGTTAAAATTTAAGCTCTGAGAACAGGTGAGGGGCCAGAGTACGAAATCTGAGGGATGAAGTGAGGAGGAAGTTTTAGGAGCGTTGAGAGTATGACAAAGGAAAGAACTAGAAGGTTGAGAAAAAAAACCTTAGGCTCTGGGTTAGATTAAGGGCACGTGACGGATCTGTGTGGGAGGGGCATAACCTCTTGCCCTCGAGCCCCACACCGCCCCCAAGCGACTGGAGCCCGTCCTAGAGGTGGTGGCCATTTTGATGCTGCATCAGCCCTCCCCCCCCCCCCATGCACAGGGTTCCGCCTCCCATCCGTCGGAGGCAGAAACAGGAAGTGGGAATCTCCTCTCTGGGCGGGCCCTCTCATCCAGCACGTGAGCTCGCACCACTGCCCTACGTATTGTCACCCGAAAAAAATCTTGGAACCATGTCGAATACGGAGAGTACCGTTTCCTGTCTGACAAAGGTGCTGCTAGGACCGAGCAAATGGGGGAAGCAATGGGGGTGGGGGTGGGGCTTAGGCCTCTGGGTGGCGCCTAGTGCTAATTTTTGTTGATCAAGTGATCCAGTTGTGGAGGAGTGAGGACACTTGTGTGGATTGGTAGGCTCCGCTGGCAGTTTGGGTTTTGCTTTGTTTTGTTTTGTTTGTTTATGTGTTTGTTTTGTTTTGTTTTTCTGGTAGCCATAGCAGTCTGAATCAGGGAAAGTGGATCTGCTTTGGGAAGGGTCAGGGGAATCGCCAGATTGATTTTAGATTATTGAGCACGAACCTTGCCTCCTTGAGGACTGCTGTTACCTGTCCTTTCAGTGAATTGCCTTCTTTTGAAATTGATGTGGAATATTGCACGAACAGAGGCTAGGTGGCAGAAGTTTGCCAAAAGCTTGGGATCGAAGTGTAGGTTTTGAATGCAGTACTAAGATAGATAGCTTTTGGCTAACTGCACTTCTTCTTTTTGCTGGGTTGAGGTGACCTGTAATAAGGTAAAATGCCTATTATGAATCTTCCCAAACTAAGATGATAGCTTGCTTGCTTATTGATCTAACACATGAAGAAACATATAGTTTTTAAAAGCTATGAAATTCATCAGTTATACTGTTGTCCTCTTTTAAGAAATTAGAACAAACCTGTGTGAAGCCCTGGAGAAGGATGAAATTGTTTTTACGCAACTGGAGATGCCATCAGAGGATCTGCATGTTGTTGAAATTCCTCTTTCCAGAGGATGGCATTAGAGAAAATAGAGGATCTTGCCTTTGAATTAAACTGGACAAATTGATAAAATGTGGATAATAATAGTTTGATAGCTCATGTTAAAGCTTTTTGGCTTCATTAAGTTTGTAAGTCTGAAATATAGAAAGGTTTTTGGTGAAAGGATTAAATTATATAAGTCACAGTGATAATATTGCTAATATATCATGTGCTGGATGGGCCAAGGTAAACCAAGAATAAAATGTGAATATTTGATGAGGGGTACAGATAGGTCATTTCATGGAGAGAATAAATACACTTATCACTGCAGTTTAAAGTATAGTAAAAGAAGTGTAGTTGTGCTGCATAAAGAGCATTAGACTATGAGATGATCATTTTTTTGGTACCGGGATGGAACTTGGGACCTTGCACTTGCTAGGCAGGTGGCGGAACCACTGAGCTAAATCCCCGGCCCAAGACGATCAATTTTTAATTCCAGGTCCTCTTAAGAAATCAGTTAACTTAGGGCAAGTCATGTATCCTGTCGTGCAAAGTTGACTCATCTGTAAAATATAATAACTGACCTGCCAAACTTACAAACACAAGTGCCTGCTGTATTGTAGTTTTGAATATGCTAGTAAGTATGAAGAAATAGTTTTTAAATTGTCATCTCTTCTTCCAGAATTTTGGAAAGATTTGAAGTGATAGTTCTGACACACTCAAAGTGTTTTTGTACTCCAGTAGTGCAGGATATTTTTGTTGTACCTAAGTCTCTTGTATTTGATTTCCAATAACAAGATAACTGGTTACTAATTTTCTCTCATTGAGAAGTATGCCTGTCTATAAACAGAGTTAATGATACTGTTATCAAGTTTAATACCTAACAAAAATGAAGTACCCTCCACCCTGCCAGATGAAGTGAAGAGGTTTTACTTGATTCATACCATCTGGCTGTGATTACTTTAGGTTCCTCTGTGTGGTATGCAGACCTTATCCTTGCAGTTTGGAAAAGAAGAATGACATGGAGTCAGACCTGTCTTCCATAAATAACTTGAACTAAAAATTGAGTACCATTTTTCTCCCTTTTGAAATGCACAATTTCCTTGTTGTAGTATGTAAGTTCAAATGTGCTAACGTAATTTATTTATCATGGTAATTTTGATTTCTGCCTTTGAACAATTAAACAATTTACCATTGTGGGTTATGATAAATCTCGTTTTTGAGAACTTGATTGAATTGCCAAATATATTTTTGTGATATATTCATGTTGGTGTTTTATAAGTACATAATTGCATATTTACAGAGCTTATTTGGAGACTAGGGTTAAATAACTAAAAGAGTGAAAAAATAGGGCAGTAATTAAGGGATGCTCCCCTGGTCCATGCTGTTGCTGCTTTATTCGTCACTGTTTTTACTGCTTTTCTAGTTAACTCATAACTCATTTTGTTGTTAGATTAGTTTAAGTATAATTACTTTATATGAAACTTTCTGTTTTCTGAATATTCTAACCTACCATCCCTGGTAAAAGCTAGGAATCTGAGAGTACTATTTCCCACCAGTTTTTCTTTTATTCTCCTTTCCACATCTGTTTTCTCTTCCATTTTAACCTCCCCAACATTGTTGTAGTCATGTTTACTTATCTATAATTAGACTGTGAATTCCTGGAAGAAGGGCTCTTTTTAATCTTCCAGTCCTCATTTCCTTAGACAGCACTAGGCTCATAGTGAGCACAGAATGAGCAAATGGACTTCTATTAATAGGTAATAATTGCCATATATTTAAGTCTCTACAATAGGATAAACAATTTACTCATGTTATAGGTACACAGAATTATAATTTTGTTCTCAACTTTGAGCAGCTTTGAATCTAAGGGAGCTAGGGCATGCACAGGTGGAGATAAATAGCATTATACAGTAGCACATACTAATTCAGATAACTGCTAAAACAGCTGATTATTGATATTTTGTGTGTGCTTATTAAACTCATTGAAATTATATGCAAAATTTTGTTTGTGACTGTTTGCATTTTCCTTGGGAGTCTATAGTAATCATTTTTTTCCTGGGTTTTCTTTTTTGTTTTTTTGTATATCCTCTTATTGGTACATTTTAGGTGTACAATATAATGACATTCATCACTGAAAATATGCACCTTTACATACTCTCTTGGTTCTTATTTTTTCCCCTTCCCCTGCCCTCCCTTCAACCCCTCCATCCCTCCCGATTTACAAAAACTTTGTTTCCTTTTTTTCATTTTCTCATATTAATTCCATTCCCTTCTTTCCTTTCCACCACCCCTCCCAGTTCTCCTTCCCCTTTGCCCCTTTTCTTCCTATTTCACATTATCTATTATACCTTTTAGTTCTTGTTTACACTTTCAGTTTCTCACACCAGAGAAACTATTAGGTATTTATATATGTGTGTCCTATTTATTTCACATAAGAGTATTGCCTCAGTGTGCATCCATTTAGCAGTAAATGTCTCTAATTTCTTGGTTTTGATGGCTGAGTAGTAATCCATTTTATTAAAAAACCCGGATTTTCTTGATCCAGTCTCCAGTTAATGGGCATTTGGGCTGTTTTGAAGTTTTAGCTATTACAAATTGTGCTGCTATGAACATGGGTGCACATATATCACTGTGCTATGATTCTTTTAATTTTTTAGCGATGACCAGCAGGGGAATAGCTAGGGCAAATGGGATTTCCAGTCCTAGTTCTTTGAGGTATCTCCATACTGATTTCCACAGTGGTTGCACCAGTCTACACTCCCATCAGCAGGGGAGCAGGGTTCCTCTTTCACCACAGCCCTGCCAGCATTTGTTGTTGGTTGATTTCATGATAGCGCCATTCTTTCTGGAGTGAGGTGGAATCTCAGTGTTGTTTTCACATGCATCTTTCAAATGACAAGTGATGTTGAACATTTTTTCATATATTTGTTTGCTGCTTTTACTTCTTTGTCTGAAAAATGTCTGTTCATTTCAGATGCCCAGTTTTGAATTGGGTCTTTGAATTTGGGGGGTCTGATTTTTTTCATTTCTTT